ACATCTCTAGGAATGCATCCATTTCTTCCAGATTATCTAATTTGCTGGCATATAGTTGCTCATAATATGTTCTTATAATTGTATTTCTTTGGTGTTGGTGTGATCTCTCCTCTTTTGTGCATGATTTTATTTATTTGGGTAATTTCTCTTTTTGATAAGTCTGGCCAGGGGTTTCTCTACAGTTAAGACTTTGTTTTTATGGTTTGCCTCTTTCTTTTTTTATACCTATGTTCATTTGTTTCCTTTCTTAAATTCCACATATGAGTGAAATCATGTAGTATTTGTCTTTCTCTGACTTATTTCACTTAGCATAATACACTCTAGCTCCATCCATGTCTTTGCAAATGGCAAGATTTCATTATTTTTTATGGCTGAGTAACATTCCATTGTATATATTTTCCACATCTTCTTTATCCATTTATCAGTCAGTGGGACATGTTGGCCCTTCTGTAATTTGGCTACTGTTGATAGTGCTGCTGCAAACATCCAGGTGCACTTGTTCCTTCAAATCAGTATTTTTTTAATCCTTGGGTAAATACCTGATAGTGCATTTGCTGGGTCGTAGGGTAGTTCTATTTTCAACTTTTTGAAGCACCTCCATACTGTTTTCCAGAGTGGCTACACCAGTTTGCATTCTCACCAACAGTGTAAGAGGGTTCCCCTTTCTCCGCATCCTTGCCAACACCTCTCATTTCCTGTGTTAATTTTAGCCATCCTGACAAGGTATCTCATTGTAGTTTTGATTTGTAGTTCCCTGATGATGAGTGATGTTGAGCATCTTTCCATATTTCTGTTAGCCATCTGTATGTCTTTTTTGGAAAAATGTCTATTTATGTCCTCTGCCCATTTCTTAACTGGATTATTTAGTTTTTAGGTGTTAAGTTTGGTAAGTTCTTTATACATTTTGGATACTGATAAACCTTTATCAGATATGTTGTTTGCAAATATCTTGGAGTGAGAGGTAGTTTTAACACCCATGTGACAATTGTATTTTTTTTTTCCTGCTGTTCTTGGAATTAAAATGAATTTTGTTTGAAAAGTAATGGACTTATTTCACACATTTTATATCTGGAGGCTTCAAGGCTGCTTACTCTACTTTGGGTTTAACATAGCTTAAATGTTGGAATAGCTTTGAAAAGTGTATTGAGTCAAGTGACTTCTAATTGATTTATGAATATCAGTGAGTATGGTTGTTATGTAATCAGAGTTGGCTTTCTGAGCTCTACCATCATAAATCTGCCATGGAATATACCCAGGGAATTTGAATCAACAGAAAACGTACAAGTGTCCTAGATCCATAGAAGTTCCCATTTGAAAGCGACCTCGCAGTTTATCTAATCAAACCCCTCAATTCAAAAAGATGGAGGCCTAACATCAAAGAGATGTTAGGAGATCGTTCCAGTGGTCAGAATAATTTTGGAGAGATCTTTGATATTGATGTACTCATATTACTATTTTTGTTATTTCTCTGATGGATTTAAAGTGATATGCTTATTTACTACACTTCTGTCATTTTAATAATGATTATTTGCTTCTGACTATCCTTTTCTGCTCTGGGCTTCTCCTTAGTTAATGAGGATGAACATGATGCTTGATGGCAAAATGAAATCATTACTGATCATTCATGGAGCAAAACAATAAATAGTTTGGGACATTTATCTTAATGAAAAATATATCTTTTTAAACAGATTATCAGAGTTTTGTCTTAGCCTCATTTTCTATTGTAAAATACAGAATTATATGTATATTAGGAAGGGATGGTGATTATGATGTTTTTGCATGATATGTGTGGTTAGAATGTATATACATAATTATGACTTTTGCTCCTTTTTACTGTAATTTATGTGATCAGATTTTTCTCATTTTTCAGTTTCTCACTACAGCATAAAAATATTCTTTTTTCTGGACACACACATGGAAAATCATTCTAATTTAACATGAGATACTATTCCCAGTGTGGTGAACACAAACCTTTTAATCATACTAATAAGTCCAAATTTTACAATAATATGTGGATTTCTTATTACAGGTACATGTTGGGACTTGCAGCAATTCCAGCAGTTATACAGTTTTTTGGCTTTCTCTTTTTACCTGAAAGCCCTCGATGGCTGATTCAGAAAGGACAGACTCAGAAGGCCCGTAGAATTTTATCTCAGATGCGTGGTAACCAGACCATTGATGAGGAATATGATAGCATCAAAAACAACATTGAAGAAGAGGAAAAAGAGGTTGGCTCAGGTATGTGGATTTTGTACTTACATTAATTTTAAAACCAGATAGTGGTTTTATTTAGAAACTATATTCTTCTGCTATTATTTAATATCTCTAAATGATGTAGCGATTTTATGTATATAACCAAATCAAAATATATTTTAATTCAGTTTTAAAAGTAGTATGTTATAAAAGAAAGAAAACCCATCCCCATTATATCACTATCATCATATAATTACTATTTTTATTTTTGTAGAGCCTCTTTTATTTCAAAATTGGATATACTTGACATGGTTGTCATCATTTTGTGTGTGGGCGATAATTTTTGAGTATATGTATATTTTATATATATATATAAAGATAAATATGCATATTGACCTTCCATATTAACGAAAAAGTCATAGTGTGAACTATTTAAAATAAATCACTTTAGTAAAAGGAAATACCTTGTTTACATGTGTTACATTAATTTCCAGTCAGGTTTTATAAAGAATAAGAATATCTTGTCATGATCCCAGCGTCCTGGGATCAAGTCCCGCATCGGGCTCCCTACTCCTTGGGAGCCTGCTTCTCCCTCTGCCTCTCTCTCTATCTCTCATGAATAAATAAATAAAATCTTTAAAAAAAAAAAAAAAGAATAAGAATATCTTCAGATCCTAGTTTTGGAATCATTTTGTGTTTCCCTGTTTTCATTAAAATGTTTAATTGTCTAATCAAAATTTCACCCTGTCAGAAAACCAAAAAAAAAAAAAAAAGTTTCTAGTCCATTTATGTTGGTGAATTTCTTTTTGGAGAAGAAATCATGTAGCGTTTTATAAAATCTCAGGCAGGATCTCTAATCTTGACAGTCTGATTTGGGTAAGTGATTTGCAGGATGTACGTGATGTGAGGTAGACATTTTATAATACATTTCTCAACAATAACTATTACCCTGCTAGATTCACAATTCCCAAAATTGTCTCATTTTCTCCCAACTTTCCTTCTGCCCCTACATTAATTGGAAACCCGAGTGGAAATGGTGACTTGTGTTAGTCAAATTATTTTTCACACTTACGAAAAGGCAAACACCCACACTCATATATTGATATATGTCACACAGGTCTTGGAAGGTGTGTTCACTCACCTTCCCCTGCTGTTATTTTTGGTGGAGCTGAATGTTGTGCTTTCCTGAAACAATAGAATAAAGACTGTGCAGAAGCTGGTGACCATTGTTAGCCACACCCGATTACTCTCGATTATATACATGCAATACAGTAGTGCAGTGTTGTTATTCTCTTGCTCAGGTTAGAGCCCCAGTGAACTGAGCCAAATCTAGGTCAAGGTCATTTTTAACAAACAGGTTGGTGAGCATATACCCCATGTGCCTGGCACTGTCAGCATTTCCAGAGTAAGATGTTAGTGAGAGTATTAAAGAGAATTTTGCTTTTAACAAAATAATTCACTTTTACTGAGTTGAACATTGTGTTAATTTAAAAATACTATTTTAAATGTTCATTTAAATTACAAATACCTTCATTTATGCTCCTGTCTGAATTTCTCTCGGCTGTGGCTTGCATGAATTATGAGCTTGTTTTTGTAGTAATCAGTATGCTTGAAGCTCTTGTACTAATAATGTGTGAGTGGAAAAACTTTTCAGGTTATTAGGTTATATTAAATACTATTTAGAACATGAGCTTTTGTTATGTAAAGGATAGGACAACAACTTAATAAAAAAAAGCCTTCCTGTGTAGGGGTAGGGATACCACTGATTTGACTATAGAGCGTTGACCATGTAGCTTCATTTGGACTACTTAAAAATTTCTCTGACTGGTGTAGCCACAGAGCCATTGACAGTGCGCACTATTTGAGTTTCATGATGACTTGGAATGGTTTTTTAAGAAACTTGAGGTACTTAAGATTGTAATTACCTGCATCTGCTTTAGTTTTTATGAGAAGTCTTTTGGAGTTAAAATAGGGCACTTTTATTTGCAA